AAGATGTGGGGTTACACCATTTCTAGTCTTATCTATAGTCAAAAGCAATCATGAATATACAAGTATATGCTGTTACTAAATCTCATCCAAAAATAGATGTCACATAGCATAGTTGTTTGCATATCATCCGGCACATCAATGATCTGGGGTTATTATTATTATTCACAGGTACTTGTATAGAGGGTTGTCTACCGGAGATCGCCCCACATGTGATCAATGCCTAAAAATTCATGAAAAGCTAACAGAGAGAGCTGGTCTGGGGTGCATACTACGTTGCCTTGCTGACACTGTTAATACAGTTTGATTCCTATCACCGTTTGCATCTTGTTGGAGGATCTGTCAATTACAAATCATTTGTTGTTGTTATCTGCCGACGTGTCAAAAACAACCTGATGCTAAAAATGTTCATAATAAAACTTACGAATACCTNCCCGTTTGCATCTTGTTGGAGGATCTGTCAATTACAAATCATTTGTTGTTGTTATCTGCTGACGTGTCAAAAACAACCTGATGCTAAAAATGTTCATAATAAAACTTACGAATACCTTTCCATAGAGTGTGTATGTGCAGAATCTCAGGGTTGTATTTTAGAAGCCCTATTTCCCTCACTGATCCCATGTTGTTATTATTGTCACTGTCCTGCATTTTCTTAGAGTTCTTTCGTTATACCAATCCTCTTGTTTTCCTGCTGCTGAAGGAATGGACTCGGGTTACAGATTCTTTACTTTCCAGAAGCCTAGTTCGATTAGTTAATTGTCTTTTTCATTTAAGCAAATGTAGCCAAGGTGCCATGGAGCTATAATAGTGAGCTATTATACTTTCTTCAAAAGGATAGCTGCTTCCAAGCCCCCTGCTGGTTGTCATTGCTCGATCATTTGAATGGATATGACAGAGCATCCGCTACAATGATGGATTTAATTAGATGTAGTTTCTCTGTTAATAAAAGGGTGCCCATGAATTGCTTTACAATTGAATCGCTCCTGCTAACATTCCTTGAGATCTACCTCTTCAAGATTCCATTGCCATCTATCATGACCCTTGAAGGTTTGAGAAATTTATTGTGTTAGATCAAAATCAGAATATGTTATAAGTCTAAGAACATCTGCCAGGCTTCAAGCTCGTAACTCAAAACAACAGGACTTTTCTATGGTACTTCCCTTTGAAGACGACCACAACAATGTTTCACAGCAGGCACAGCAATACTATGCATCTAAATGTTCCAGTTGCAAGTGAGTGAGTGTGTGTGTGTGAGAGAGAGAGAGAGAGAGAGAGAGCACAAATGAGTCTTCGTTAGTAAGAAAAGATTGATGGAAAATAATAGTCATAGTTTCTAAGACATCTTGTTTGTCAAACGATGCCCATTCATATAAAACAAGAATGATCCGGATTGGGGATTGTTTTTATNAAGATTGATGGAAAATAATAGTCATAGTTTCTAAGACATCTTGTTTATCAAACGATGCCCATTCATATAAAACAAGAATGATCCGGATTGGGGATTGTTTTTATATTTTTATTATTTTTTAGTTTTTACTTTAGCCAAAGAATAGCCGGTAGCATACAAGTTTCTCAATTGGTTTCCTTTATTCTGTTGCAGAAATATGTAATTTAATAAAAGAAATATTTATATTCTTGTTAATTAGAAAGTACTGAGAAAACTTGACCATAGAACTTATTATCTCTTTATTTTTCAAGGTCAAATAAGAAATGAGATAGAGCATTCATTTCTAGTCTCTCTTAACTTACAAAAAATAAAAATTTGCTCATTTTGGATGAAAATTTTAAAAAAAAATACTTTCTTTTTTTTAGAGAAATGAGTTTCTCCGCTATTTGAATAACTTCGTTTGCCTCTTTTAATCTCTCGTGCTCTGAATTTAATCACATGAATTGTAATAATTTTGTAGATATTAAATGGAAATAGATCACTTTTGTTGAATAGTAANAATGAGTTTCTCCGCTATTTGAATAACTTCGTTTGCCTCTTATAATCTCTCGTGCTCTGAATTTAATCACATAAATTGTAATAATTTTGTAGATATTAAATGGAAATAGATCACTTTTGTTGAATAGTAATTAAATATTTTTTATTTTGATGATGATTATTTCACTAAAATAAATCAAAAAGTATGAAATTATTTCAAAATAACTTGTCAAAAAATATAAAATTTTCAAATTTCCTAATAGGGTCACTATTCCACCTAATTCTTTGTAATATATATACGATGAGATGTTACTTTTCTCATTAAATTTAAAGTTTTACCTTTTCAAATACTCTATATGACTTTTCTTACAATTTATAATACGAATAGTATTAAATTCGTGACATGTTTATATAATATTAAAATTTATTCGATGTCTATTCAATTTATTTATAAATGTGTATAATTGAGTTNCTCACTATTCCACCTAATTCTTTGTAATATATATACGATGAAATGTTACTTTTCTCATTAAATTTAAAGTTTTACCTTTTCAAGTACTCTATATGACTTTTCTTACAATTTATAATACGAATTGTATTAAATTCGTGACATGTTTATGTCATATTAAAATTTATTCGATGTCTATTCAATTTATTTATAAATGTGTATAATTGAGTTTGTATGTATTAAGTTTGAGTCATGTATAAATTATATTTATTAATTTTATTACGTATTTTTTTTTCTGGTGGTGGCCATAATTATTAGTACTAGCTGTGACTTGTCTGTCTGTCGCTCCCGCACCAAAATTAAGCGCCCAAAACCTGGGCCCGGCTCCTCTGCTGTTGAAGACTAGCAGCACACAGTGCTATTTAATGCAATGATACCTTTTATGGTGTGTACCCCCCAACAAACTCCTCAACTATTGCACGGCGTCGTTTGAACCTTTTACAGAGTAAAATGCCAAAAAGCCTATTGTTTTTACTTCTTATGCAAAAACACCTACGCTTCCTTTCTATCCGTCAATGGTTTTAGGGTCCTCCAAATTGTGAACGGTGTCGTTTCGTGTCGTCAAAATAGAGTCAGAATTTTTTATTATTTTTTTGAGTGGGTACTTTAATGACAAGGTTTCATATTATTTTTTTTCTCAACTTACATATTGTTCTTGACACAATGAATATCTATATAATAAGATAGTTGGTAAGTTAAATTTTATTCCCTTCACATTTTTCTCTAAAAAATATCATATCACTTATTTCTATCACATGTCTAATTATTTTAATATTTAATTAATTTATAATTTAATATATTTTTTATTTCATATATTATTCATACGCAATAATATACATATGTTGAGAAAATTTTATCGAATTAGTTATTTTGAAATATTATTATTTAATATAATAGAATAAATTTTTTTTAACGCTTGAATTTTATATTTCTTCGTGTATTCAGCCATGAGTTATGACTAGTCAATAGATAATTGATAGCTTTTACATAAGGAAAAAATATATCATTGATTTTTTTTGTTCAATGAATTTTTATATATCAAGTGTGATGTAATAGATATAATAATTTTATTTATTTATTATTTTCTCAACTTACATGTTGTTAAATAAATTAAAAATGAATATGATGAGAATTCAATTGCATAATAAAATGGATATCAATGATTGATAATTTGATTACATATATGTATTAAAATATAGGATTAAATTACACTCACACCCTTTAACATTTAACTAAATGAAATGGAGATCTCCTGACATTTTTAAAATTACACAGGACTCCTTGTCAGCGTTAATAGATGATCGGCGTTAACATAAGTGATAAATAACTATTTTAACCCTTTAATTTAATTTAAAATAAAAATATAATAAATAAAATATATTACAACAAATTAAATTAATAAGTAAAAAAAAACCCCTCTCTTCCCTTACCTCATCCTACCGCCATCACCACTCCTCCTCCTTTCCTCTCCTTTTCTCTCTCTCAGCCTAGCTGCCACCACCACCATTCCCAACCCCTCTTTCTCTACAACCCTTTTCTCTCTCTCTCTCTCCCTCTCTCTCTCTATCACATATCCCTCAGCCCCTTGCCCTTCCTAGCAACAAACAACATCGCAGCTGCCACCACTACTCCCAATCTCTATCTCTCTACCTCTTTCTTTTGTTTCCTTCTCAGATCCCCCACCCCTACCCCTTCTTTGCAACAAACCCCAATTGCCGCCGCCACCACCACCAGCACTTCAAACCCACCACTCTCAACCCTTTTCTCTCTCTTTCTCTACCTCTCTCTTCTCTTTTCCTCTCATATCCCCTAAGCCCCTAGTCCCCTCCTTGCAACAAACCCCAGCTGTCACTACCACCACCACTACCATTTCAAACTCACCACTCTCACTACCGGAGAGGATAATTTTAGAATTAGATAAATGTTGTTCCTTGACATCACTATTTTCTATTAGTCAAACTACCGGTAGGAAAATGAAAGGGTGTTCGTGTTATGATTTTTGAATCTCAAGAGGTTGTCGTGCAATTTTAGAAATGTCAGTGGGTCTTCATGTAATTTAATCAAATATTAGGGGGTATAAGTACAATTTACCCTAAAATATATCATTGATTTTAATTTTTTTGTGTTCAATGAATTTTTATATATCAATTATGATGTAATAGATATAATAATATTATTTTATATAAATTAAAAGACAAAAACTAAACCTTATCATTAAAGTAGCTACTCCCAAAAAACAAAAAAAAAAATTCTCTACCTGACAACACGAAACGACACCGTCCACAATTCGGAGACCGGAACCATAGGCTTTTTGCATAAGAAGTCAAAATAATAGGCTTTTTGACGTTTTGCCGGTAAAGATAGTGTTTTAAAATTCGGCCCGATCCGACGAATCAACCTGGTGAACCGGCGCTCGAACCCAGTCGGTTCTCGTAAAAGACCGCTTACACATAAAAATCGGGATCACACTGCTGAACCGGTCAAAAACCGTTAAACCAAACCAGACGGTTTAATTGTATTTGTATAAATGTGAGATTGTTTTTCACTTTTGGGTATTGTGTTTTTGCCCTAGATTGATCCAGACCAGACCAGCAACTGAGCACAGCCTCCACCGCCAACGACTGAGCACCGCCTCCACCAGCGACTCCATTCTCCAGTCCAGCCTCCAGCACCAGCAGGCAGCAGCAACTCCACTCCAGCGACTCCAACAGCGACTCCACTCCAGTGAGTTTCACTCTCTCTCCCCCTTTTTCTCTGTCTCTTTTGCGCTTCAATCCATCATTTATAGCAGAGAATGGAGGTTAATTGCTTGGAGCTTTAACTTTCAGATCAGCTGTACTCACAATTGTAGTTGCAGAGTTCTATTTTATCTGGTAATGAGTTAACTATATGGGTCTTTTCTGATTGTGTATAGTTCATGGCAATTCATCTCCGTTTTTGTAAACCCATTTACTCTTTTTTGTCTTTTTGGCTCTCTTCATCGCTTATATTGTCAGTGAATCAAGATCTGTCATTCTATGTATACTATGAAAGCTTCTTGCTTTGTGGGTTGATTACTGGTGTGAGCTTGTGAAATTCTCATTGTGTTTAACTGCACTGCATACATTTTAGAGTTTAGAGATTATGAAATTCTCCTTGTGAGCTTGTTTGATTGCACTGCATAAATTCTCCTATCTATTATTTTCATTTGTTGGGGTTTATAATTATTGTGATTTTTTAGCTTATTTATTAGTATTTATAATTATTTTTTTATTATATTATTGGTCCGACCAGTGATCCAATGATTGAATCTGTGATTCATTGACTCGATTCCTTTGTCGGGTTGATGTCCTGATCAAATTTTAAAACTATGGGTAAAGGATTCAAACGACGCAGTGCAAAAGTTTGAGGGGAGGCTGTTGGGGGGTACAGGCCAAAAAGGGTGCCGTTGCATTAAACAGCACTGTGTGCTGTTAGCCTTCAACAGCAGAGGAGCCATCCCCAACCCGGGCCCCCTCTCTCTCTCTCTGCAAGACCCTAGTTGCTCCCCCCACCCACCGCCGTCTCCTCACACCGTTCCACTCCAATGCCACAGGTCCACCACCAGACCCAAATAAACACTTGAACTGTGCAACCAATAGTTCTCTCTCTCTCTCTCTCTCTCGATTAGGGAAAGCTTTTTCCAGAGGTGAGCCTCTCTCTCTCTCTATCTGTGTCAACTGTTGTTAGAAATAATATTGTCAAACTGTGGATAAACAATTTTTTTAGTGATTGATTCTTCATTACGATGTGATGAGGCGGCTTGGCTTGTATTTGATGAATTTTGAAATTTGATGCTTTATAAAAGTGTATGTTGATTAGTTTACAAGTAAGTAGTAATGAAAAGGGCTAATGTTCAGTTTTGGATCTTTGAAATTCAGGGGAATAAATATGGGGATGTCTTCGAAAAGATCAAAAAAAGAACAAGAGAGTGACACGGGTTCGGAGGATGAGGGCGACATGGAAAATCAAATGCTCGATGTTAGTCAAAATTCTCTCTCTCAAAAAAAAATAAAAAATTGCCTCTGGGTTCCATGAGTACTGGTTTTCTTGTTGTGTATGTTAATCGTGGGTCTTTTTGCCAATGTAGGTGGAGAACGAGTTTGACGATGACGATGACGATGACGAAGACAATGATGACGACGATGAGGAAGATAATATAGAAGAAGATGGTTACCAGGTGCAAAATGATGACATAAAAAATGCGGAGATGGAAGAACTTGAGAAAGAATATATGGGTCTTCGTCACGAGCAGTAAGTCCTCCTTTGAACTTAACACTGTATGCTTCAAGTTTGAATTTTTTGGGAAAAAAGAAACATGGATTCAATTGCTGGATGATGTCTTTGATATTTATTATGTCTAGGGACTAGGATCAAGTTTATGTGTTGGGGTGCATTGTAGAGTTTACTTNTTTTGTAAACCCATTTACTCTTTTTTGTCTTTTTGGCTCTCTTCATCGCTTATATTGTCAGTGAATCAAGATCTGTCATTCTATGTATACTATGAAAGCTTCTTGCTTTGTGGGTTGATTACTGGTGTGAGCTTGTGAAATTCTCATTGTGTTTAACTGCACTGCATACATTTTAGAGTTTAGAGATTATGAAATTCTCCTTGTGAGCTTGTTTGATTGCACTGCATAAATTCTCCTATCTATTATTTTCATTTGTTGGGGTTTATAATTATTGTGATTTTTTAGCTTATTTATTAGTATTTATAATTATTTTTTTATTATATTATTGGTCCGACCAGTGATCCAATGATTGAATCTGTGATTCATTGACTCGATTCCTTTGTCGGGTTGATGTCCTGATCAAATTTTAAAACTATGGGTAAAGGATTCAAACGACGCAGTGCAAAAGTTTGAGGGGAGGCTGTTGGGGGGTACAGGCCAAAAAGGGTGCCGTTGCATTAAACAGCACTGTGTGCTGTTAGCCTTCAACAGCAGAGGAGCCATCCCCAACCCGGGCCCCCTCTCTCTCTCTCTGCAAGACCCTAGTTGCTCCCCCCACCCACCGCCGTCTCCTCACACCGTTCCACTCCAATGCCACAGGTCCACCACCAGACCCAAATAAACACTTGAACTGTGCAACCAATAGTTCTCTCTCTCTCTCTCTCTCTCGATTAGGGAAAGCTTTTTCCAGAGGTGAGCCTCTCTCTCTCTCTATCTGTGTCAACTGTTGTTAGAAATAATATTGTCAAACTGTGGATAAACAATTTTTTTAGTGATTGATTCTTCATTACGATGTGATGAGGCGGCTTGGCTTGTATTTGATGAATTTTGAAATTTGATGCTTTATAAAAGTGTATGTTGATTAGTTTACAAGTAAGTAGTAATGAAAAGGGCTAATGTTCAGTTTTGGATCTTTGAAATTCAGGGGAATAAATATGGGGATGTCTTCGAAAAGATCAAAAAAAGAACAAGAGAGTGACACGGGTTCGGAGGATGAGGGCGACATGGAAAATCAAATGCTCGATGTTAGTCAAAATTCTCTCTCTCAAAAAAAAATAAAAAATTGCCTCTGGGTTCCATGAGTACTGGTTTTCTTGTTGTGTATGTTAATCGTGGGTCTTTTTGCCAATGTAGGTGGAGAACGAGTTTGACGATGACGATGACGATGACGAAGACAATGATGACGACGATGAGGAAGATAATATAGAAGAAGATGGTTACCAGGTGCAAAATGATGACATAAAAAATGCGGAGATGGAAGAACTTGAGAAAGAATATATGGGTCTTCGTCACGAGCAGTAAGTCCTCCTTTGAACTTAACACTGTATGCTTCAAGTTTGAATTTTTTGGGAAAAAAGAAACATGGATTCAATTGCTGGATGATGTCTTTGATATTTATTATGTCTAGGGACTAGGATCAAGTTTATGTGTTGGGGTGCATTGTAGAGTTTACTTAGTCCAACATTTAAATTGCCACATTATTGCATTGTAGTTGCGAATAAGTATTTTTTGAGAGTTTGGTAGTTTGACATTGGAAAAGGTTGATTCCTTACTTCTTTAATATATATGTATTTCAGAGATCTTTTGAAGAACCTAAAGCGTCATAAAGATGAGGATGTTCTCAAAGGTCAAGCAGTGAAAAATCAGAAGGTATGATGCTAACCACTGCTCATTCGAATTATTTTTTAGACTTGATGCAAACATGATGTACTTTATGAATGGCTATGGCTTGCTTCAGATTGAAATTTAGTTTTATCTATGGTTTTTCTTCTGTTCGATGAAAAAGTCAATTTTCTCTAGGTCTTTGTGATTTTCTGTGGTGCCACTAAAAAATGGATTCTAATATTATGTCAAAACTTGCCATCTTGGCCTAATAATGTATAGATTTTCAGGTCTAGCAAATGTTATCAATAATCATCCATAAAATAGTATTTGTAGTAATCACCATTGTTTCTTTTTCCTTTGTCATTATTTCTATCTTTATTATTCTCATGTGCATTCATTTATGATCATTTTGCTAAAACATCTGGATAATTCTGTGATTCTTTTTTCTTTCTTATTTTTTGTTTTCCCTTGAAGGCTCTCTGGGACAAGGCTCTTGAGTTCAGATTCTTGCTGCAAAAACCAATTTCAAGTTCCAATAGACTCCCACAGGTTCACTTTGGCTGATAACTCTTGTTACATTTATTGCAGCTATATAGGTATATTTAGATACATTTTGGAACACGATAATTAAAGCACCATGAATCCTCTGCAGGAACAAATTAAGTCTTCATTCTGTGATACTGACAATGGAGTCGATGAAGCATATTCAGATCTAATTACCTCATCAAAGAAGACCTTGGATTCTTTACTGGAGCTACAGGAGGTATGGTAGTATTGAGAACCCATTTGCATACCTCAATTCAGCTTGAACTTTCTATAAGCTTCCTGCTTCTAACAATGTGACAAACAGATGATTCCTTCAATTGGTTACTAGAATTGTTACAAAGTTTTACAATTTATGTTTGCTAGATTAACCCAATATTATATCTATTCTGACAGGCACTACTTGAGAACAATCCATCAATTATTCAGTCTGCAGATGGTATGACATGTAATTTGATATAATTCTCTAGCTGAATTATATGTTATAGAAAGTTATTCTTTTTGAAGTTTTTTGCTCATCTGTCAATCATTCAATCTATGCAATGATGTTTCCATATTGTTCTTTCTTTTATTGGCCTGCCTAATGCTTTAAGGAAAAAATTGTTTCCTAAGAAATTTTATCATACATTTAAGGGAAACATTTCTCTCTGCTCTCTCACATTTTGTTTCCCTTGGTGGCAATTTTTTGTTGTTGAAAGTACTTATAATGTGTTATGAGCGTTGCTGTATTTTTTATTTGATCTATTATGATCAGTTTTTTGCACCCATGTGGATTGAGGACTAGGAGGATATCTACAATAGTTCTCTGCAAATTTGGTGCTGCCTCTATGGTTATGCAAAGGATCGGAGTATGGTTATGCAAATGAGTTATTTCTTTTGGTATTGCCCTTGTCCAGTTTCCTTCCACTTCTTTGTCACAACCAATCATTTCAATCCGTCGTTTCCTGCACTATGTGTGCTCAATTTGTGTACCCTTTCTCAAGACTCCACTCCTTTTCTTGTTTTGTTTCGGGGCTGTTGTTTTTGTTTCTTCTTCTCTTTCTTTTCTATTCTGGGTGGAAAGAAAGAGAAAAAAAAAAGGGGGGGGGGTGAACTAATCAGCATGCTGAACTTAAGGCACATTTGGAAATGTCATCTTTTCTTCCTTCTGGTGGTAAAATGTTCATTTGTACATGATTGTCTCAGCATTGTTAATTTTCAGTTGCTAAACACATGGGCATAGGTAAAGTTGCTGTTACCAACACAGTTTTACTTGCAATTTTGGCAGGATGCCGAGCTTCATGTGATATATAGGATGTTTTATGTATTTCATTATACACTTAGTTTTTTTTAATAAAATTTATTGTTTCCTATCCAAAAAAAAACATGACAGTTTTACTTTCATTCAGTATTGCATCTTATACTCCAAGAACCAATGTTTGGCCATTCAAACTTTTTTGAAAGTAGCTTCTGATAGTTGTTATATGATGGCCTTGTAGTTATATGGCGAGTAAATTCCAACTTGCATCACTTTTGATGTCTACAAGTGTAAGCCGTCATTGTAGGGAATTAAACATGGAAAAAATCCATGAAACTGTTAGTTTAATCATGCATGATGTAGCGTGTCAATCTTAAGACAGGTTTATTAAGAACATTCAGGAAATCCTTCTTTCTCTTTGTTAAACAGTATGCTATTAATGGCTGCCTATTTCTGTTTGTAGGTCATTTTATAATAGGATTTGATTTTCAGAAAATTCCATTGGACCGTTTGCTAAGGATTATCTTTTATATCTAGAATCTTCAGAACGTTGGAAACATTCTCATGTGATGCTACGTTTTCAAATTTCACTTGGAGGAGTTTTTCATTGAAAATTTCAAGTAGATATAACATCTTTTCATTAAATGAGGTTATTAAACTGTTCTGGATTCTTTTTGTTGGAGTGTGGGATTCAGTGAGCAACCATAACTGGTTTTTGTCAACTATGGTTTGCAGAAAAATGCTTATTCTGGTTATTGATTGGATGCTGACGTGGATTGCTTTTTTCCCTTGTTAAGGTAACTCTGGGAAAAATTTCAAGCGAATAGAAGCTTCTAGCATCTTAAACAAGGAAGGAGATGAAGAATGGTTGCAAATTTCTCAGATGCATTCTAGGTATTTCATTAAATTAGTTGGATCAATGCAGGATTTTCAAGGACTAAGAAAGATGGTTGCAGGAAAAATTACTCTATTTCGTTGAATTTGGAATTTGTTTTCATCTTTGCATGTGGAGGCAATTTTGTTATGCAGTGTACATGCTTCGTAATATGCCAGTGCATTTGAGTGCGTGTGGTCGATGAAGTTCAGTTCTCTCCCTTGAATTCTAAGAAAGAAGATGAATATGTTACTTGCCTGTTTCTTCATTTCTGGCCTTCTTTCAGACTATCACAGAAGATAATCAAAGCATGATCAGGGCAAATGAAACCCACAAAATACTCTATAATCTTGCCAACTAATTGTTAGATTGGTGAGATTTGCCTATTCCCAAGATTCAAAACACAGCTGCTCAAGTAAAAAGTTCCCCATATAATAATGCAAAAGGATAGACTAAACAGTCCAAGTATTACCCTCCAAATACAACAATTTTAGTCTAGTTATTTCTTCTAGCCTTCTTTTTACTTGAGCAGCTGTGTTATGAATTTTGGGAATAGGCAAATCTCACCAATCTAACTATTAGTTGGTAAGATTATAGTGTATTTTGTGGGTTTCATTTGCCCTGATCATGCTTTGATAGTTTCTTGTCAAATCCTTGAGTTGAGTACAAAGTTCTGTGGCAATTCTCTGTTAATTTTTATCCTAGCCCTGGAGCAAGGTTGTCTTTTAACTAGACTGGAACTAAGAAGTATGATTTCATATATTTAAATTAAAAATGCATCTCCTTGTTATATCTTGACTGTGATTTTTGGCCTTGAAAAACAGCATTCTCTTGAAATGTTTACCTAATATTTCTCATGCTTTGAAAATTATGATTCTGGGTATTTTGAATATTCTGTAGATCACATCTTCTCTCTATGTGCATCATCACACCTTTTTGCATCTTCCTTTATTTTTTTCAACTTGTGCTTCATAATTGTCTCTTTATGAGTGAACTTAAATTGTTAATGCTCCTCTGTTGTAGAATAGCTCCTTTTAGAAACAAAGCAGTAGATAAATGGCAAAGGAAAACGGAGGTGACTACTGGTGCTGCTGCTATTAAAAGCAAATTGCACGCCTTTAATCAGGTTTGCCTCTAAAACTGATGTTCTTGTGCAGTCAGAGATGCAACAGCCCTGACCTGATTCTTTATTGTTCTGCAGAGTATCAGCGAACAAGTTGCTAATTATATGAGGGATCCGAGCAGAATGATTAAGGGAATGCAGCAGAGGAGTGCAGCTATTTCTATATTTGGAACTGTGAGTCCTTATCTTCATCCAAACATTGAATGAGATGTGGACAATGTGTGCATACTCTGCTTTACATGTTATATAGTTTGTTGTTTTTAACAGCTTCTACATTTGGTTGGCAATCCTAAGAAACCTGTTTCAACTTATTCTTCTTTGAGACTTGAGTTGGTCACTCTGATTTTTATTTTTTGGGGCTATATTTGGAAGCCCCAGAGAACAAAAAAAGACATTGAAATGTTGTGTGCATATTTTCACAATGTTTCCTGTGTTGGCTCATTAATTGGAATCACTTTTCTAATGTATAAAGTAACCCATTCGATAATATATGTCAAACAAAGGAGAGCAATTTTATTTCCTAGTTTGGGCAAAGATGGTCCTTGTATACTGAGAAGTCTCTTAGGGGGCATTCGGATAGTGGGTTAAAGATGGTTATCCACTAGTAGGATGAGATAAAATAGGAGTGGGACCCAGAAATCCCTTGTTTGGGAAGCCATTTTTGAAGCTGGATACAAATCCTGGGTCTAGCCTTGACCCAGTTGCTACAGTGCTTTGTAACCCCCCTACAAAGGTTAAAATTAACCCACCCCTCCCATGGGTTACAAACCTAGCCTACTGGTTAACTAAAGATCCATACATATTTACCCCTTATTTCTCATTGCTTCACTCTCGTCCAAGCTTCACTGAGCTTGTCAACAAGGAACTGTTGCATGGAGGCGACGAAGAAGACACGGATCCAAGCATCATTGAATATTGTTCATCTGTTGAACCCTAAGCCCTAACCCATCGCTGAAAATGGTGTTTGCTGGTATGAGTGAGAAGGCCAAAGGGTTTTCAGTGAACAATAACGAAGAGATGGATTTGCCGAGTGATGAGAGAGAAATTGGATTTATTGATGTAAAAGGGAAAATATGAAGGGTTTTGAGGGTTAAAGGAATCGGCTCGGAAGAAAATGGAGAACTTAGCCGAGGAATTTGAGGAAGATGATGAGGAAGGTTTTTCCGAGAAGAGAAGGCATGGGAAAAACTAGAAAAAGAAAATGGATATGGAGGAGAATGGTGGTACCCGGGGAAGCGAGGAAGCGGATTGAAAAGGAGGGGAATTTGGTTAAGTGAAGTAAATGAGAATTTCTCATAAAAAAAAAAGTAAAGGAGAATTCAATTGTTTAGATCTAATATACATTTTCTACCTTTATATCAATTATTCACTTTGCTACTAAAAAAAATATTAATATTTTAATATATATATGTTATTATGTATATGTGAAAAATGTTTAATTTAGTAAGGACAAGTCACCAATTCAAGCATAGGATAGGATTAGATTGGATTGGATAGAGTTATGGGTATAATGGTAAACTACTACAAAATATTTGGTGTAATTTATGGGGCCCACACAAGTACATATTTATTTCCCAAACAAAGGTTTGGATTAGATGACATCCCTAACCTTGGATTGTAAGTGGATGAGTGGGTTTGGATTGGATGGGTTAGGATATAAAAAAAATGTCCTACCCTATCAAATCTAACTACCGAAACACACCCTTAGGATATACCCTATAGTGAACTTCCCTATATTAAAGTTATTAATCGATGATGATTCATTTGGGATGGAAAGCAGGTTTTGTATGTCAAGAAATTTGTGCCTGCTTTCTGTATAACTCCGGCCATTCAGTAGCTGTGGCTTGGAAAACTTTTGAGTTTTGAGTTTACATGGGCTTTTGTGAAATCTGAATATAATGTAAATTGTTGAACCATTTTTTTATTTAGTTTTTTCCCTTATTTGTTCTTTGGAAATCTTTGGCTCAGCTTATTTACCAGTTCATGAAATAACATCTATCACCAAATGCATTGCCATCTTGATGGTGCCAATCCATACTGTTTTTTGTAGATATCATAAAATCAGATGAATATATATTATTTTATCATATGAAAATGTTTCTTCCATGTGAGACGTTATCAAAGTTCCACGGATCAGAGTCGTCAGACCATATACTGATTCCTTAACTCTGTTCAGGACCCGAATGCAGATGGTGACCCTGAACTTCTGGATGACTCCGAATTTCATCAGCAATTGTTGAAAGAGTTTTTTGAGACATTTGATGCAACATCATCTGGTAAGATTTTCTAGCACTTTATGTATTGAACATCAATATTGAGTCACATTTTGATGTACGCTAATGAGTCCTGTACTTAAAACTAAACAATCTGATGCACTCTCATCTGCCATAAGGTGTGCCTAAATAACGGGAGGTGGGGGCATTTCCTGTTTTTGTTACTCTTATAAGGTGGTGATGGTGGTGGTTCAGTAAGGGCCACCTCAATGTTTCTACTTTCTGTGTGTTTTAAGGATTATGAATTGTCTTTGCAATGCTTGGTGGTTGCCCCTGTTCCTGATGCATTTATATACAGATCTCTCATAGTAGGTAAGCGCTTGTTTAGTAATTGCTGAAGTTTGTATACCCCCTTGTTAGGTTTGGTGAATTTATATACTAAAGCACCGTGTTTTGTGTAGAAAGACTTTAGAAAGAAGCATGGGAAAAAGAAATTAGTGTGACATTTAGGACACCATTAATTTTCTGGGAAATTGCTCACCATTGATACTATCTGTCTTATAATTCACTTCCTAAACAGCCAAGTTATGGGGGTTACATTGTCTGAACTTCCCATTATTTGATTTTCCACAGAGACGGCCTTTTATGCTCTGAAGAGACTGCAAACTAAGAAAAGAAAAATTGTAGACCGGCGTGCGTCAAAGAGTCGCAAGATCAGGTAAGTTGGCAATGCCATTATGTTACTTCCATGCAATTCTATTATTCTCATGTTTCAGCTCTGAAACTTGCCTATTTTCTGATTCCGCAATTTCATAAACCTTTTGATGATCCTACTACAGGTATAATGTTCACGAAAAGATTGTCAATTTCATGGCGGCTCAGCCCGTGGACATTCCTCCAATGGCCCCTAAATTATTTGCAGATCTTTTTGGACTTAGAACTCATAAAGCTCCCTCCATGGCATAACCAAACTTTCACCCAGCAGGAACACCATATGCCGAGGGATACGCACACTGTAAATTATGAGGCTTGAACACTGGTTGACGTGTTCGCCTATGTCTTGTGTTAGATGATTACGTTCAACATTTTCTTATGACAAATTCTATTGAAATATCCTTCATATCTAAACGCCGGACTGCCGCTACCAATTTTACGTTGTTGGTTAGAGAGAGAATTCTTGCCTGCTTTTGACCCATTTGTTCTAGAATTGTATTACTTGGTGGATTTTACTCTTTTAGGAATTTTTTCGTAACCCCACATGAAGATCAAGTAAGACTGGGATCATCGTTCTATAATTGTATCACTTAAATTTTTTTGAATTGAATTTCTTTTAGGATTTTTTTCTTCACCTTTTTGAAACTCCAATTTTAAAAGACAATTTTTAATAAATTCATTCAACGGTTTGAAATAGATTAATTTAACAGTTATTAATATTTTTTTTAAAATAATTTATTCACATTTTATTATATTTTAACTACGAGTTATTCTTAGTATGTATATATATATATTAAGAAAAAAGTTAACCCAACAAGAAAGCAGGATAATTTTAAAAAGATATTTGTTTTTCTAGTAATTAAAAAGTAAAAGAGATCTAATATGAAAAAGTTAAAAACATAAGATTTTACCAAAAGATTTAAGAAATTTTAATATTTGGAATTTTGAAGGGCAAGACAAATTGGCCTCAACCATACTAATAGAATAACATGCCCAAAAATAACTTAACTAGAGCCCCCCTTCAATGTGTTTCATATCTCTCTCTCTTGCCTATAAAACAAAAATTATAAAAGCAAAAACGAAAAAAAATTGTTCGAATGAGAGGATAATTACCAATGTAGCTTAACAATGGCTAATTCAATTAATTAAGGATGAAAATTTCAATTCGGCCAAAAAACCAAAAACATTTTAAAAATATTTCGATAATGTGTCAAAAATAAAATAAGAATAGATAAAAATTTAGAAATTTACTTTCAAATTATTCCGAAACATTAACACACTTCTAAACATTCCAAAATATTAATGAAAACATGCCAAAACATCTCCAAAATAGCTCAGAAACACCCTGAAGTATTGAAATTTTGATTTCACATCCAAATTTGTCATCCTAGACAACCTCTCCCTCCATTAAAGAGTTCAAGGAAATTCCATTAAAGAGTTCAAGTAAATTCAGACAGCAGAATTTTTTTTTTTTTTTTAAAAAAAACATAAATTTTTGAAGTCCATGGAATTGTGTCCAAAAACTTAAACCAACTCAATCTCCCATCGAAGCACACCCCTACGAAATTATCAAAAGAACACGTCCTACGAATAAGAAAAACTAAATACAGTCAAACTATGTCTTCAACCCAACCGTTAGAATACAAGGTAATCATAGTAAATTCTTGGACGTCGATAATCCGCAATTTGTACAATAATGCTCTGAAAATCAGAACCTGCATATGAGCAATGTACGTCTTCATACCTATAATGGTGGAGCATGAAAAGACTGGCCAAAATAAGTCGGAGCTTGATTTGTGGCGGTCGATGCATATATTTGAGGAAGCGTGGCAGTTGACGGATACATTTGAGGAAGGGCGGCAGTTGATGGATACATTTGAGGGTGGGTGGCAGTTGATGCATATATTTGAGGGTGGGTGGCAGTCGATGCATATACTGGAGGAAGGGTGGTCATCGTTCCAGCTTCATTGGAAATCGTAGCTTCAAGACTCCTGTAAGATTTTGGAATTGATCATTAGCTTTTACCATGGACAAGCAGCACGAGAGATGATTTCAAAATAATGTAAACATGTTCACTGTGGCTAATAATTATCAAGCAATCAGCACTTTTAAAGAGATGAGCAGGAGTTTTGGCCTCTACTTCCCATTAAACGATTCTTCTGCAACCACACCATAGGTAGTGTCATTGTCATTTCAGTTACAACTCAAAAGAGAATCCCTACCGTCACCTAGTCCATTCTTGTCACCCCAAACAAATTATATCCATTAGTACAGAGACTCCAACTCATACACCCCCCCTTGTACGATTCTTAGGCAACCATACCATAGGCGTGCACTATTGTCATTTGTGTTGCAACTCAAAAGAGAATCCCTACCGTAACCTAGGCCTTTCTTGACACTTATATCCATCAGTACAGAGAATCCAACTCATACACCCCTCAAATTCCTAGAAATCAAAGATTCCCATGTGTCACACAAGATGAATGCAACACGAGTGCCCCTATATATATAGCTCTATCAAAGTTTGGTCAACTGTACATTGTAAAATTGAGACCTCCTTGAAACATCTCAAATGCCATTTTTCTAATCAATAATGACAATGATTTGNAAAAACTTAAACCAACTCAATCTCCCATCGAAGCACACCCCTACGAAATTATCAAAAGAACACGTCCTACGAATAAGAAAAACTAAATACAGTCAAACTATGTCTTCAACCCAACCGTTAGAATACAAGGTAATCATAGTAAATTCTTGGACGTCGATAATCCGCAATTTGTACAATAATGCTCTGAAAATCAGAACCTGCATATGAGCAATGTACGTCTTCATACCTATAATGGTGGAGCATGAAAAGACTGGCCAAAATAAGTCGGAGCTTGATTTGTGGCGGTCGATGCATATATTTGAGGAAGCGTGGCAGTTGACGGATACATTTGAGGAAGGGCGGCAGTTGATGGATACATTTGAGGGTGGGTGGCAGTTGATGCATATATTTGAGGGTGGGTGGCAGTCGATGCATATACTGGAGGAAGGGTGGTCATCGTTCCAGCTTCATTGGAAATCGTAGCTTCAAGACTCCTGTAAGATTTTGGAATTGATCATTAGCTTTTACCATGGACAAGCAGCACGAGAGATGATTTCAAAATAATGTAAACATGTTCACTGTGGCTAATAATTATCAAGCAATCAGCACTTTTAAAGAGATGAGCAGGAGTTTTGGCCTCTACTTCCCATTAAACGATTCTTCTGCAACCACACCATAGGTAGTGTCATTGTCATTTCAGTTACAACTCAAAAGAGAATCCCTACCGTCACCTAGTCCATTCTTGTCACCCCAAACAAATTATATCCATTAGTACAGAGACTCCAACTCATACACCCCCCCTTGTACGATTCTTAGGCAACCATACCATAGGCGTGCACTATTGTCATTTGTGTTGCAACTCAAAAGAGAATCCCTACCGTAACCTAGGCCTTTCTTGACACTTATATCCATCAGTACAGAGAATCCAACTCATACACCCCTCAAATTCCTAGAAATCAAAGATTCCCATGTGTCACACAAGATGAATGCAACACGAGTGCCCCTATATATATAGCTCTATCAAAGTTTGGTCAACTGTACATTGTAAAATTGAGACCTCCTTGAAACATCTCAAATGCCATTTTTCTAATCAATAATGACAATGATTTGTAACTGATAAAATATGAGCCTAACTAAAACAACAGGTGGGAATATTAAAGCAGGAAACTAAAATTGAAAAAGAAATATTAAACCGGGGAGTATTTATGAATAAATAAGAAAAACAACATCCAGATGTCCTCATGAAGTTGTTCCCCCAACACACGGTGGGATAGGGAGAATGGCAGAAAGAAACTTATTTTCATAATTCCAGATCACTGAACTTAACAAACACTTGGGTGTTCCTATACAATACAAACCAAAGCAGAAGTAAAAAGAATCCTCCCCCCCCCCCCCAAACAAAAAAAAAAAAAAAACCCTNTTGATTTGTGGCGGTCGATGCATATATTTGAGGAAGCGTGGCAGTTGACGGATACATTTGAGGAAGGGCGGCAGTTGATGGATACATTTGAGGGTGGGTGGCAGTTGATGCATATATTTGAGGGTGGGTGGCAGTCGATGCATATACTGGAGGAAGGGTGGTCATCGTTCCAGCTTCATTGGAAATCGTAGCTTCAAGACTCCTGTAAGATTTTGGAATTGATCATTAGCTTTTACCATGGACAAGCAGCACGAGAGATGATTTCAAAATAATGTAAACATGTTCACTGTGGCTAATAATTATCAAGCAATCAGCACTTTTAAAGAGATGAGCAGGAGTTTTGGCCTCTACTTCCCATTAAACGATTCTTCTGCAACCACACCATAGGTAGTGTCATTGTCATTTCAGTTACAACTCAAAAGAGAATCCCTACCGTCACCTAGTCCATTCTTGTCACCCCAAACAAATTATATCCATTAGTACAGAGACTCCAACTCATACACCCCCCCTTGTACGATTCTTAGGCAACCATACCATAGGCGTGCACTATTGTCATTTGTGTTGCAACTCAAAAGAGAATCCCTACCGTAACCTAGGCCTTTCTTGACACTTATATCCATCAGTACAGAGAATCCAACTCATACACCCCTCAAATTCCTAGAAATCAAAGATTCCCATGTGTCACACAAGATGAATGCAACACGAGTGCCCCTATATATATAGCTCTATCAAAGTTTGGTCAACTGTACATTGTAAAATTGAGACCTCCTTGAAACATCTCAAATGCCATTTTTCTAATCAATAATGACAATGATTTGTAACTGATAAAATATGAGCCTAACTAAAACAACAGGTGGGAATATTAAAGCAGGAAACTAAAATTGAAAAAGAAATATTAAACCGGGGAGTATTTATGAATAAATAAGAAAAACAACATCCAGATGTCCTCATGAAGTTGTTCCCCCAACACACGGTGGGATAGGGAGAATGGCAGAAAGAAACTTATTTTCATAATTCCAGATCACTGAACTTAACAAACACTTGGGTGTTCCTATACAATACAAACCAAAGCAGAAGTAAAAAGAATCCTCCCCCCCCCCCCCAAACAAAAAAAAAAAGATCACCCTAATAAGAAATGAATCTGAAGGAAAACATACTTGCTTTATTCAGAACAAAGAGGAGCAGCAGTGGCATGGTCTGCCCATGCCCTGGATGTTGATGGGAGATTTTAACACCATTGAGAGATTAGGAGGTTCTTATCCGTCAGTGGCTGCAATGGAGGATTTCTGGAATTGCATTCAGGATGAAGGTTTGATTGATTGTGGCTTTGAAGGGAGTAGTTACACATGGTGTAATAATCACCAAGGAGGAACAAGGATGTGGCAAATGTTGGATAGGGTATTGATGAATTCAGGCTGGAATGACAAATTTGGTAGTACTCGGTTCATCTGGGAAGAGGGAGCTCTGATCATTGTCCTTTATGGATTAAGGTCTGATACTCAGATAAGAATTTCTTACTTTAAGTTCCTGGATATGTGGGCTCAATCTGATTCTTTCTTGTCTTTGGTTATTGCAAACTGGAGAGGTTGCTATTCAAATAATCCTATTGAAAATTTCTTTCTGAAAATGAAGCTTTTGAAGGTTCATATAAAGAAATGGAATAAGGAAATATTTTCGAGAAAATTAAAGAGCAAGAGTTAGCACTTAAAAATGCAGAAAGAAGAGTGGAGGTTGAAGTTCTGTGGCAAAATTTCTTGCTTTGGAGACCCTAGAAAGGATTGGAGGAAACATTGAGGCTGGAAGAACTGTTCTGGAAACAGAAGGCTAATTTGAAGTGGGCTCAAGATGGGTAATGAAATACGAAGTTCTATCATGCAATTGCTAAAGAGAAGGCTGTAAGGAATAAAGTTAGATGAATCAGAGATGAGGCAGGAGAATGGAATTATTCAGAGTCTGCCATTGCCCAGCAGGCAATCTCTTTCTTTTCTACTTTATATCAATCAGAGTCTCATGAGATGAAGGAAAAGTTGTTTGAATCAATCCCTAGTTTGGTTTGTTCTTTGGACAATGATAGTCTAACTAAGAAAGCTACATTGGTGTAATTGAAGGGGGTGGTCTTTTCAATGTTTGTCGAAAGTGCTCCAGGAGCTGATGGGTTTTCTGGGAGGTTTTTCAGGTGACTTGAGATGTTGTGACGGCTGATTTGCTGTTGGCTGTGAACTTCTTTTTGCAAGGAGGGGAGGTTCCTCCTTCTGTAAATGTTGCACTGTTGGCTTTAATACCTAAGAAGACAAATCCTTCTTCTTTTGCTGAATACAGGCCAATCAGTTTGTGCAACTTTCTGTATAGAATACCAACTAAAGTTCTTGCTAATAGGTTGGCTTGCATTCTGCCTAGTTTGGTTTCAGAAGCTCAGCATGGGTTTGTCAACGGTAGAAGCATTGGTGATTGCATTTCTCTAGCCCAAATTCATGGTTAGTGAGATGGACAGGAAGGTTGAGGCTGGAAATGTAGTGGTGAAATTGTATATGATGAAGGCGTATGATAGATTGGAATGGGATTTTTTGAAAAAGACTCAAATGTTTTGGTTATTATTGGAAACTGCTTGAACAACCAATTCATCTGTGTGTGTGTGAATGGAGAGAGACAAGATTTTTTTCCAACTTCAAGGGGATTGAGACAAGGAGATCCCATCTCCCCTTCTCTTTTCAATTTGGCTGAAGAAGTACTCAGCAGAGGTTTGACTAAAATGTTTTGAGACTGGAAGGACTAAGAGTTTTTATATAGGGAGAGGTTCCATAGTTATTTCTCATCTTCTTTTTGCAGATGATACTCTGTTGTTTTTAAGGGGTGACAAGAAATCTATGGAGCAGCTTATGGTGTTTATGGGTAAATATGAAGAGAGTTCTGGGCACAGGGTGAGTAAGCAAAAGAGTTCTCTTATTTGTTCTTCGAAGATATCTCAGAGTAGAAGGGTTGCTTTGTCTAGAGTGGCTCAGATTCCTTGTAAGGAATGTCCTATAACCTATCTCGGTTGTCCTTTGATCAAAGGTAGGTGTAGAATCAGACTTTGAAGATGTTGTTTTGAAATTTAAATCAAGATTGGAAGGGTGGTATGCCAAGATTGGAAGAAGAATAAAACAGTAAGACAAGATAAGCTAAATAAAAATATTAAATTGTTTTTTAGTTCCTCTTTTCTATATCTCTCTCCTGGGGGGAAAAAAAAAAATAAGAGGGCGAAAAATTATAGATTCTGTTCTTTGCCCCAACAGCCTAATCTATTGCCTGGAATACTGAGCTTGTAAAGGGGAAAGAAAAAAATATTCTCAAAGCATAATGGTAAGTGATGGTACAACATCAATGATTTGTCAATGTGAGATGAGGTTCTTTTGGGATTGCCATTTCTCCGGTGGTGCCATTTTTAATACTTTCACATTCCTATTTAGGCATTTTAGTTAGATTTCTATGCTTGTGCTGGAGCTAAAACCGGGTAAAATATGTTATTAATAATTCAATATCTAGATAGTTTATAATTTAGCTAAAAAAATGATCTAATGCAATCAATAAGTTTATGTTGAATTTGATTTTATATATGATGTGCCAAAAAGCATCTACTTATTGGTTTTCCCTACTACAAAATATATGGGAAATGTATAGATATTTTTTGGCTATGCCTTCATTTATCATTCACCCTTCACTTTGTTTTATAATCATTTTTATCATACAATAAAAAGTACATTTGCAGACACCTACTCTAAGCATGAACAATAAAAAAATATAATTAAAAACGAAAATAACAATTAAACAAACAACTTGAAATGGTACATGTGCAACTAGTATATATAAAAAGCATGAAAATTACACCGACTGTTGACCACCAGCTTGCTGTATCAATTGAGAATACACATATTCGTCAACTCTCAACTTTGCCAGTGCTACCTGTTAATCATACAGAAATTTTACAATAAGATCTTTCAGAAATAAATTCGAAAGAACAATACACAATCTGATCATCATCTCAGTCTGCTATGGCAATAATCCGCATGACTTATAACAAAACAAAGGTATTTCAAAGTTGAGATTTGAAAAGAGGAGAATTATTTCTGGACCTGAATTAATTTCCTGGATTTGACAAATAATTATTATCACATACTGGCCTACCCGGGACTGAGAAAAGATCTCAACTCAACTCCACTCCACTCAAATAAACCTTGTCCCAACTTTTTTGGGGTCAGCTACATGAATCTTTTTTCAAAATTCAGCTCTCTACCAAGGGCACTATCATATCCTTTTTTACTGTTTACAAAAATATCTTCATGCCTCTGCCCACCCCGCACCCCCTCTTTCCCCAACTCTTTTCTTCCTCTCATTATAAGAAGAATGCCAACACCAGAAGGGGTGGCACATAACTACATAAGAGAAATTAGGAAGAACTATCAAGTTTGAAGAATGATGTGCCAAAGGTTTGAAGACCAACATTAACTTGTCAAGAACAAGCAATGAAGGATATCTAAACAATTTTCATCAAAAGACCAAGTCGAATACAAAGCAACTTTCCAGCTTAATGTAAAACAAAAAAAAGGTCATCGTCTAATGTGGTGGTAAAAATCTCCAGTTAACAACCATGAAGTTGTGGGTTCGAATACAAGGCCAACCATGTTTTGCAAATAATGTCAAAGTTTGGGTCTATACCTATTGTCAACCCTCCCAACACCTCAATTAATGGAGGCCAAATTTTAGAAACCACAATGATGTATAAGAGCAAGACAGGCCTCTGAAAAGCAAGCCCTCTCTCCAGCCTTTGAAGTCAACATGTTTTTCCACCACAACCAAGTCACTGCAAACAGAAATAACACATAATGGAAGAGAATTCACCTGTTGAGAACTACCACCCAAATGGATCTGCCTATGAGTCTGTTCACCTTTTGCGCCATAAACCTGCAAAACACCAAAGCATACCACTTTAAGCAAATTCAAAACACTAGTTCACATGCAAATTTATAGTCTATTGAGAAGTCTAGAGGCCTACAGTAAAATGAGAAAGTATCAGAACTTTTTAACATTCATCAAAACTACTCACCAAACCTTTAAACCTAGACACAAATTCCAGAAATTTGCAACTCAGTACATATATGTGAGATAAAATATAGGAATTGAATAATATACACAATTCAAGCGGTACAGTATATACAAACGTTCCAAAGTTCTTTGAAATGACAAATGTACAAAAATTCAATATCTTTTACACTCCTCTTTAAAATCTGGTGCAAAACTTTTCTTCTGTAAACTATTTGACCATTACATAAAAAACAGCTGAACCGAGTGATTATCCTTTTTCCCAATAATACAATACAATAATTGATCTGGTCAACTTACAGCTCATAAATCAAACATCAACAGACCTTGATAGTTGCTCCAGATTCACTTCTGATCCTTGAAATGTTGGAGCCACACCTCCCAATCAACCCACCAACCAATGACTCAGGAACCATCATCTCCAGATTTACATATTCAGCTGCAAGATTGGTTGTCCTAAAGATGTTGTCGTTATGAGAAAATACATTAAGATTTCATACAGCAGCACAATGCAGCTATACAAAAATACAAATATGGTGACCTGAAAAGCATTTCAATAACCTGAAGTTGGATCAACGTGTTGTTGAGGTGGTCGATTAAACCCAAGATTATACGTAGGGCTGATGGAAATAACTTGTTTTGGTGGGTTATCCCTGAACAAATCAAATTGGTATGCAAATCAAATTAAAAAAAAAGCCTAGAAGGAGAAAGAATAAGGAAAAAAAATAATTGAAGCCATTCAAAATTTAATGAAAGACCTTAGTTGACATCCAATCTCCACCAACGCCCTCAATACTGCAGGAATATCACCGGATAGCTGTGTTTACAGTATTACCAAAAGAAGAATATAAACAAAATATCAATAAATGTAGCTCATTAAGAAAAAAAGATAAATTTCTTGATCCTATGCCTCATCCATTTGCTGCACCAACCCAAGCCAAGCAATTTTAATAGTCAGAAATACTAAAATATACCAAAATTTGGCAGGAATGCAAAATTCATTCACCATCATCAGAGTTCTCTCAACTTTTGGGCATGTAAGCTTTCCATTTGGGATTGAAAGCAACAATAAGAATCCTGAAAACACTTTCTCTCAACCCCTACTTGCACATAATTCTACAAACAAAATCAGCATCAACTTAACACCTACATGTTGGCTGATGGAAAAGCATTTATAAGGGTTGGGGTGAGCATTGAACAGTAAGTGCACTTCAGGAACAAGGATTGGTAAAGTGATGCGGCTTTCTAAAGCTTTCCTTATTTTGTCTGCAGCTCCAGTGGAAAAGGACATTATCATGTCAAATTATGTTTCTCGGCCCAAGATGGACTCATTTGGGACCTTATTCTATGTAGGGAAGTAGAGGCAGTGAATGAGAAGTTGAACTTTTTGTTTACAGGCAGCAAGTGTGGTGCTGGACATGATAACAAGTAGTAATTGGTTGAGCAGAAGTGGAAGATTCAAAGTGAAACAGCACTACAGCACATCAAAATAAGACAGTTTCCCTCCCTTTAAATGGCACAGACGGCTGTTTGGTGGAGGATTTTAATAACTGACAATTTACATCGCAAAATAAGACACTCCCCAGGTAGTGTGGCACACGCAAAGGAGCAAAGAGACAGACATTTCTCCTCATGCTCTTAAGGTTGTGAAGGAACATACCCTTTTGCTATTGATCTTTGGTGTCTGTTGGGCTTTTAACTTGGTACGGTGGAAAAGACCCTGGCAAATAGAGGATTCCTCACATTTTTATCTCGTAATATGACAAACCCAATGTTATACATGATGCAACTGGATGGAGACTAAACGCCATTAAACTGAAGGGGCAAATATATCAACATACACAATTTCTTAAGTATGTTGTATTGTACACCCACCAGGAGGAAAATTCCTTGACACTTTCTTGGAATTACGTAGTTGTTTGAGCTCTTATATTCATTTGTTGGTGAAATAATAAATTTAACTTATCCAAAAAAAGAGAGACGAAAGAAGAAAAAAGGCTAACATACAAGAACTATATAAACAATAATAAGGATTGGAAAAAGTCATGAAATACCCCACGAGACTGTTCTCATTTAAAAAATTACAATTTATGGAGTTTAATAATGGTTCAAGTTCTTAAATGAACTGCTGAAAACCCCCGATTTTAAGCAAGAAAAATATACCCTGAAAGTAATTTTGAACCTAAATCACAAAATAAGACTCATTGACCCATAAACCAAATCCCTTCACCGAAGTCAATGTTCAGCCAGAACTTATAACTTGGGTTTAATTATATGGTACTGGGCCACTGGTCAAGGCTTCCAAAAATTTGGTTTGCAATAAGGCATAATCTTTGAAATAGATTTTTTCGATCGGAAACACAAAAAATTAACTAACAAGAAAAGTGCAAATGGACATGGGAGGAAAGTGAGTCCTCAAAATGGAAAAAGCAAGAGAGAGAGAGAGAGAGAAAATAAAAGAAAAAGAAAAGCTATGAGCTTAGCCTAAAAACAAGAAAAAAGCGTTAAAGGCTCAACAATCAGCACACATTTGAGCCTAATGATTCTTAATCAAAAAAATCGGTATTCCTTCAAAGCCTTTAGATGTAGAAACTCAAAGAGAAGCCAGGAAAATGATTTTATCCCATCAAACTTCCCAAGAAGTCTATCATTCTTGTGAAACTCGCCCATTTCTTTCGGACCACACCACTCAAAACAATGCTAAAACCGCACAACTCCATTAAAACTTAAAGTACCGGAACCAAAGTCATTAAAATGAATCTCGAATATCTAGGGCACCCAACGGATTCCACACATGCCCAAAACCAAAAGCCTATTCACCAATTATAGAAAAAGGAACATTGCAAAAATAAGTGATCCATACATTCCTCCCCACTCTTGCAAAGAATACACCATTACGGTTGAAAAATATAGGGTGGTCTTCTTTTTTGGAGCAAATTGTTGATATTGAGTCTCGTATGTGCAAGCAACCAAGTATAATCTTTCAAACAGATTATGGTCATGCAGTGAAACTTTGGCCAGTAACGTACTCAATTACTTGGAGATAGGCCATAGTGTTGATGTAAGAGTATGTAATCTACATTTTTTTTTGGGAAGATAGGCAAGTTGTATTTTATGTTTATAAACACTACAGTGTTTCTTGATTCCAACATTCTATACACAACATAAAAAGTATAACTGAGTTAGATGACAGCAGCATCACCCAGTACTCATTGTGTATCTTATCCCACCCTAAGTTTTCTCGTGTAGTTTATCACTATTCACACTTTCAAGCTACTTGCATATGCATCACTTTTATAGGTTAGTTCAGTATAAACTATCCCATCAAATTCTCCCCATTGCATTTCGGCATTAAAAATACATTAATGAGGAAAACATCATTCAAGCCAACAGCTATTAATAAACACTTGTAATACAACGCACGTCAATAATTTTGTATATAAAAATTATTAGGTATTGTGTGCCTAAATTAAATATCATCTCAAGTTTACTAATCTTATTTTTTTATTGTCCAGTTTATATTATAGAATTATGAAGACTTTGTCCCAATGATTCATTAGTCTAACTATAAGAAAAATAATTTATACTACTTATAAATGTCAGCAACTGCGAAATATTTTTGATTTTCTATTTCACTCTTAATTATTACGCTAAAGACAATTATGCTCACAAAATATTAGCTAGATAAACTTTATCTCTCTGACTTCCAAATTTTTTGCTGAATAAACTTTATCACTAATATTCCAAAATTTTTGCTAGATAAATTTTTTTCTATGACTTCCAAAATTTTTACTAGATAAACTTTATCACTATAACTTGATAGTACATTCTTCTTTTCCATTCAATTCGACAAATTCAACTAAAATTCTAATATGATGTGAAAAAAAATTGCTATTTTTTAGGTGATAACCACAACCATTAAAAATTCATTATTCATTGTTATATAATAAAAGATTAGAAGAGTGAAGAGCCAAACTCATATGTTTCTTTCTTTCATACCTATTAGACTTCCAAAATATCTTGAACAACTTTATTAGAAATATATAGGTAGATATGGGAAAATAGACCTATATCTCTCCGGTAACTCCATTAACATATTTGGTCTTATATCTCTACAATAAATTTGTTCTTCAAAATCATTTAAAATTAGTGGCCTTACATCTCTATCGCTTGACGTTAAGTATATTGTGACTATGAAGAATGGTGGGTCGACGGTGCTTGGTGTTATCAACCTGTGGGCTTTTTTTTCTCTGACATGCCTATTGCTGGTATGGTATTTTTTTTACTTTGTTTTCCATCTATTTGGGAATGGCTATTGCATAAATGTTCTATTTACCTTACAACAGTTTTTGTAATTGGAACTAAAATTAATTTGTGTTCAATTGAATCGGTATTCCCATAAAAGTGATACTAAATGCCAAAAAAAAAGGTATTTTTCATAGAATGAAGAGCTTAATCTTTTAAACTAATCTCATAATATTTAATTATTTATTATTAGTAGGCTTGTAATGTTTTAGGAGTTATTATTTTATGAGTAGAATTAATTTTGTTACCAAACTTTTGAATTCATGTGGTGGTGGAATAGTTTTAGATTAGTAAATTATATTTAGGAGTTTTTTTGGTCTTATGTTGTAATGCCAGAAATTCTTATTGGATTCAAGAAGCCATCGAATGCACAAATCAGCAGTCTTTTGCTTCGTCAACTTTATACACTTTGTATTTCTAAAAAATATAATCTAAATTTTTTCACATGCACATTACTAGTAAAAAATAAAGTTCTATTTTTTAGAATTTTGGGATTGAGAGTGTTTTTTTTAGTGACGTTTGAAAATTTAATTTTTTTTAAATTCATTTGATTAGAATTCTACTTATAATTCATTGATTAAAATAAAAATAATTATCAATATCTTAATTATATTGGAACATTACTATAATTAAGAATTAATTAGGTCAATTGGTATAAAATATACTACTAACCATAACGATGCATGTATTTTTTAAGGATAATATAGTCAATTTAAAATTTTTATGGATACTAATGTTTATACAAAGAGAATAGATAATTAGAACATATGTTAAGGGATAATTTGAAGATTCAAATACATAAGGACATGATGGTAATTTATATATTTAACTATACTGGCTATTACAATTCTTTATAAGAGTAAAATAGTGAATTAAAAATTTTTCATGTTAGTATAAATTATTAGTAGTATAAATTAGATTCATTAGAAGATAAGTTGTCCATCATAAAAACCTCACCTCCTGCAGCATCCAACCATTCATTTACTACAAAAATGTAGACATAAACCCACACGAATAAGAAGACGACTAGAAATGCTGCTGTAAATTCATTTGTGCAGTGAGTGAATGACAGGAAGCACTCACAAACCTGTACTACCCGATCCGATTCATAAGCAGATGCACACAAAGGCAACTGATTTTGAGCGAGAACTGTGATGGTGGCACCAGAGGAATTTCTTAGTTTCTCGATGTTTTGACCAGACGCTCCAATCAAACCACCTGCTTGGGAACCAGCAATCAGAAGTCTTATTGCATTGGCAGCGACATGACCAGCACTCACTTTCAAAGCCTCAGCATTGCCACTGTCGTCCTATAAGAGAGTAGCGGAAAAAAAAATTCATTGTATTAGTACCTTCACAAGGTAAACAACTCAACAGTTCCACAAGCACCATTGTAAGATGTGAAACAATCTAGAAAACAATAGCAATGAGTCGTGACCAAAAAGGAGGTTACTATTAGAGCATCTACTCAAAACCAAAAATGGTGCACCTCTTAGTATGGGGGCTGGAAAAGGCCATGGAGACCGAATGCGTACTCGTGTGATAAATCGATGGAAGGGGGAATTGCATGAATTATGAGACCGGCCTAACCTAAAGTAAAGGCTCTTCCCTCTCTGGACGGCGAATTACTTGACTCGGCAGCAATGAGCGGCCAATCTTCGGCGGTTCTAATCATTCGAGTTAAGATATAAGTTCTCTTTACACTCTCCCTCACATGAAACACGACCCCACTCATGAACTAATAAACAAACAAACAAATATGTACACCACGAATTCAAACGGCTAAGTAACTTGACAACACGAGGCTCAACTCTCCAGTGTAGATCCCACTCATGAACTAATAAACAAACAAACAAATATGTACACCACGAATTCAAACGGGTAAGTAACTTGACAACACGAGGCTCAACTCTCCAGTGTAGATCATGCACCTCAATACCATGCAGCTAATATTGGAGAGAGTGGAGAGACTGCTTAACCATATAACCCAACCTTTGGCTGTTCTAATGATTAGATATGGGATACAAGTTCTCTTTACATTTATCAACAATATAATAATTGCATATGATGCAAGCAATTCGTCAGAGCTGAGACATAAAGAAAAGCAATGTACATAAAACAAAGTATTACACTCTCAACAATCAACATATGATGCAAGAATTTTGGGCCTTCCACGTGTTAAAGTTCTTTTTATGGTCATTAGAGCTAAAACATTTTGCAAAGACACACCTTACTATTTCACCCTCCATCCCCTAGTGTTCACTAGGTGATGTTTCCTTGGCACTTCATCCATTGATAAATTGTTCCTTGTACAAACTGATACCGATTGATAAATTGCTCCTTGTACAACAGATTAATATTTTCTCAAAAGAGGCTAAAGCATGGCCACTTCTCAACAAAAATAATCATTTTGAAGACAAAATAATGTGCAGCAGCTACAAATATAGTGTACTCGTATAAACAGGAAAGATCACTACTATCCATTCTAGATACCTTTTGCATGTTTCCAGGTCAATTCAGGTCAACAAACAAAGAAGGCATGGACACATATGTGATATTTTCCCTCCAAACAAGAAAGAAAAGATGACGACAGTGACACCCAACTGCAGAATAGAAAACAGTGGTAGCCATCATGTAGATAGTAAGTGCCTGAGTTGGGAAAGCAGTTCCCTTTAATGCCCAGGAAGTCAGTTGGAGATGTCAGAGAATTCATGGTGTTTAATTTTATTAAGAAAAAGAGCTTGCAAGTGAACTATACAATTGGAAAATAAAATTAATGCATAGGGATTTACCACCCAAAAAAACATTAACAATTGGTGGCAGAGAACAGCCCTCCCTCCTCCCCAAAAACTAAGATGATAAATAAAATAAACACATCCTCCCACAGGCCCTCTGCCAATCAATTAAGTATCTAAACATGTGGAGGAAGAAATGATGTCTACCTCTTAACCCACATTAAAAATGTCATTCATATGGCAGGACAAGCACCTCAACTACTTCATAAGGCCTGCCAACCGTTGGTGTTTTAAGCACGCACCCAACCAACTTACCATGGATAGGACAGGATCCCGCCACTAAAGGTCTGGAAAACCTAGATATAAATTACTTTATAATGTGGGATGAGCAATAGACATCATTGAATTATAGAACCCTTTGCAATATTTAGATAATCAAAATGCATTTGTACCAAATATGGTGCTTTTCCTTTTTCATCTCCTTTTTCCCTTCAGAAAATACCATAACTATCAATCAAATCAAGGAAACCCTAACTTCTAATAAGGTTGCAATTGACCAAAAGAAGTTTACAGATATGCAGGAGCAGGACATCTTTAAGATTCAAACAAGTTCTTTGATCTCAAATAAATTCTTCAAATCCACTCCTTCCAAACGTTCCAAAGCAAACCAATAGGTACCACTTTCATATAGTCTCTCTACTGCTTCTATTAAATCATCACACATTCAACATCTCTACTATAAATCCAGACAAAACCAATAAATACCAATTAAATAAGTATGTAACTGTCCAAAGCTCTCAACCCGTAAAAAAGCTTAGTCAAACATACTCATATTAAAAAAAAAAGGTAGCTTGGTAATAGAGGACAATTAATATGACAATAAATGCATCAGTGTAATACAAAACATTGCCTTGCATTATAGCTTTATAGAAGATATTTTCTAAAACTATCACATCACCTTTAGAATCAAAGTGGCTATTTGATGAAGGGCGTTCTCTGCATCACAAAATATGTTGTCATTGTCTTTAGAACTTATGATGATCACTCTCTCTTCATGTCGCTGCAATACATCACAAAAATGAGGTAAACTCAAGTGCTCTTATTTGCAAATCATCAGGGTAGTTGAACAAATAAAACTAAATGCCCACCACCAATTAAAAGAATAGATAGAGAAATATAGAGAAAGAAGCCCCCAATTTACATTTCCCAAGCCTGCATCATTTAACATCCCTAGCCGATGAAGAGAATCCATGACACAAGCAAAATTGTTTCTTTTGGACTTCAAACACTAAAAACAGTTGAACGGTGCATAAATGGACCCTTTACAATTGAAAACTTTGACAGTTTAACCAGATAGAAATCTCACTAAATACACAATACAAAACTTCATTGATCTTCACAGTACACTCCATCATCCTAAATTGCATGCCCTCCTCCGTCCACCGAAACATATCAATCTCAACTTCCTTGATATTGCACGAACCTCGTAAGTCTGTTCCTAGAGAACTGGTCGATTTCTCCATTGATATACCAGTTCAACAATATAAGTCCAATTTTCTTTAAAGTAATATTCGCACATCCATTAACCTCTATTTGCTACTACTTCAAAAAATTACCATAATAAGTTGCAGAAATTTGAATTTTAATGTCTTAAATCATGAAAAATTTAAACAAGAATAATAACACATCAAAATCTCACCTTACTAAATACTTTCATACAAATTTTAGGCATATACTAAGGAGAACATCACAGTAAGGCCCTACCCAGAGGTCCCTTTTCTCCCTGGGAGAGGCAATAATTCTTTCCATTTAGTTAACTTACAGAATACAGACATTCTTTTGAGGCAAGAAAGGGATGAACAAGGAAACCAATGATCATTCAATCACACAAGATAACAAGTTGTACAAAAACCAATTACAGGTGGGCAAGTTGTCCAGCCCAATGACGGGTAATAACAAAGTCATAACAAAAATATAAACTAGAACATTGACACCAGATGACAATCGGTATGATGCAAGCCAACTCGCCATAATGCTACAAAGAGGAGCATTGTTGAAGACTTCTCTGTTTATAAACTCTGTTGCCCCTCTTTACATCTTTTTGATAGATAATTTTAAGCAACAATTAGGATGTGGCATTAAGAATCAAAATTGAATTTAGTTTCCTTGCACCACAATCTCTCAAACTAACATGGGACAGCTAAACAATCTAAGTTTAATTCAAAGTTTTCAATTTATCGCCTCACTTCCTAACCTAAACAAATTCTCTGTTCATTCTTTCCGTTTGTTCTCAGTAATCAACCCAACCTTAGATTCTCTAACCTTCATTATTCCTACCTTTCATTAGGAAAACAAACATAAGCATTAACAATAAAATACAAAACATTCTCTACTCACCCAAGAAAACCTTGGGAACTAGAGAGAAAATTTGCCCACATGTAAAAGATTTTTCCTTTTCTATCCTAAAACAAAAAATTTCCTTCACATTCATTCCTTTGTTTTATGTTTATCCAAGCAGACAACCAACGGTTAAACTTCAAAATTCACATATTCTTCTCCATGACATTTTCCCAGCTACAAAGCAATAATCAATTATCTTCCTCACAACATACTTCCAAAGCAACTAACCAGAATCCTTTAATTCATTCTAATTTTTTTTTATTTGTGTGAAGTAAACCAAACAAACATTCTCTTTTTCAAAATTTACTCAGCCATCAATCGAATCGTTATACTTCAAGCTCTGTTCTCTTTGCCTTTCCATCATTTGCTCAGCAACCAAAGTAAATAAAACAAAACTAACAGAAACGTACTCCAAAAAAAATCAACTCACCGCGATGGCATCGGCAATTTTGATGGTGGCTTTGGTCTCTTCACGAATCTTCTGAATACGAGCCCCCACTTTACCAATAACCTTCCCGATCTGCCTCGATGGCACCACGATTCTGAACAATATGTCCTGCGCCACCTTCATACGCCGCTTCGGCGGCGGCACATCCCCGAACGTTCCTTCATACGCCGACTCATCTCCGTCGTCGCGCGGTCGCTTCAATGTGGATGATCGGGTTGGATCTTCCTCTGCATGTGGAACTCTTGCCGGCGGTTTAGGGTTCACTGAGATTTCACCTTGTTGAGCCATCGCATTGAGAGAGAGATAGACTGATGGAAACGAAGACCGAGTTACGACGCATTATCATTTTATCAAGGGCTTTGAGGCTAGGTGAAATTACATCTATAACCTTCCTAATATTATTTTTCTCCAAATGAGTTTCTCTCCTCCAACATTACACGAAATTCCTACCTTATCCCTAGAATGTTTTAGTGGTAAATGAAAATCACTTCTTAGACGAGCGATGGACAGCGTGCAAATATATTTTAATTTTAATTTTTTTTATAAAAAAATTAATTATGTATTGAATAATTATTTTATAGAATTTAATTTGGCAATTACATATATATAATAATAGAATATAAATTAAAATATTTTTCTTAATATAAATACATATATATATAGAGAGAAAAATTTATAAATAAGTGTAAATGAGTTCAAAATAATTTATTTTACAAAATTATGGTTTTTTTACAATCAAAAAATATATATAATTAAAAAAAATAAAACACAATATTTGAGTGGTAAATGGGTGTGTCACCCCCCTAACAAATAGATTAGTTATAAGATTTTAGCCTCCGATGAATTATTTGTGACATTTATATACAACTTGAAAAATGTTAATAATTTCGATTGCCTCTATCCATTTTAAATAATTGTTTTGAATTATATTTTGTGTCGCCTTAGTTTTGCTTTATTAATTTTTCATAATTTTTTATTGACTCAAATAGCAAGTTATTCAAAGATAAAAAGTGAAACCAACATTGTTTTGTCTATTATTTTAAGATACCAGTTTCTTACTTTATAATGAGATAAAATGGGCAAAATATTCGTTTAGTCATCTGAAACTCATCTCTCAAATTGGAGTTTTTTTTTTTTTTTTCTAGTTGATGTCTTATTATCTTAAATATAGGTGTTTGCATGGTTCTTCATTTGTCTAGAGTGTCATTATTTCTTTTATATTTTGATAATTTTAATAATAACTTTCATGGAATTTCAACCACATGTGAAGAGGAAAAATGGGGTGAAAAGTACAAACGTACAACGACAAGTGAGTGCGATAAAAAATATCAAATTACAATGAGAGGGTGTGTAGTGGAGCAAAAATGCTCCACACGTATCCCCACCGTTGTTGGACAACTACTAGATCATCGAAGAAAAACACACATGAAATTTCATATTAAATTTATAAGACTTCCATAAATAAATTGAAGAAGTACATACAAATGAAAGGCACACAAAAATGGACGTGGCTTTAATTGGGGTTTAATTAAAACATTAACACATAAATATGTATCCATGCGCATGTGTGTATGTTTTTATATATACGAGTTAAATGTTCGTATGAACAAAATATAAATGAGTAAGAATTAAAATACACAACGGTGAATTTTGTATTTGTGGAGTCTTGGGTGTTATGGTAGGGCTTAATGGTGTGTTTGTGATTGCAGTAGAGTGAGTGTTAGTGAAGAAATGAGCAATTGTGGAAGCATGTATATGTGTGCATATATTAAGAAGAATTTGTTGGGGGGGGGGGGGATGAAGACTTTAGGTATGTTTGTATGTGTTGGGGACAAGGGGCAGTGTGTGTGGATATGTTGAGTCTTATGCCCTAAAAGACATAACTTGATCAACTTGTTTGTGTTGTTGGGCCAATGGTTGACAATCGGCAAAAGATGTTGAGCAAAGCTGTTAGTTTAAAGAGCGAAGTTGATCCGTAACATCAAATAAGAAAAGAATGATGTTTGAGTTTGAGTTGATGGACAGGACGTAGTCACAATGTGTCTCCATCATCATTCTTCCTGAGAACCGATTGATTAGGTTAAAAAAGATATGAGACCGACTCCATTCAAGATAACATTCCATGATATATTGAGTCTCATAGATAATGTCATGAATGATGGATCGTTTATGGGCAATGCGAATCTATGTTTGGGCTTGAATTTGTCACGCGTCAACATTTTGATAAGTCATAGTAATTTAAGAGTAGTTTAAGTGGTAATATAAATAAATTATAAATTCAAATATTATGAATTCGAATATCGACAATTATTTGAATCAGACATTTATTTTGTGTAAATAATTTAATCATGATATGATTGTCCTAACTTTGATCGGATGAGGAGGCCATAAATTGATGAAAATCAATCGGCAGCTTAAGGAAATTAGAAGAGAGGGGTTGGTTGACCATGCTGAAGCCAATTTTTTTTTTTAGGACAAGGCAGGCACAAATACACACACCTGAATACAAGCCTAAACCCCCAAAGGCCCAAAACCTATCACAACACATCATGCACTTCCGTCCCCCGGCCACCCCTTTCTCTCTCTACACTACACTTTCCCGCCACTTTTCCTCCACCAGTACCACCACCAAGCTTCCAAGAATCCACAACCTCTCCAAAATACCCTCCAGGCACAGACCACAAGCCATCCAAGAAGCCCAAAAGGTTCTCACAGACTACCTTCACGCAACCAGATATTTACCCTTCACCTACGCCGAACACATAAGCAAGAACTCGCTCCTATCTCTCTCAAATGTCATTTCGAAAGTCGATTTTTCACCCTCAACATTCTCAAAAGCCGTTCAGAGATTCCTCAGGTATCACCCTATCAATGAATTTGAGTTTTTCTATGAAAGCATTGGCATTAATCACGAGGAAATCAATGGGTTGTTGCCTGTGAATAAGTTTTTTTTATTGGAAGATTTGCGAGTTTTCAACGCTGCTTGCGCGCTTGCTGGTTTTGGGTTTCCCTGGAACAAGTTGGGCATATTATATAAAGAAGAAGCTTCGATTTTTAACAAAGAACCGCGTGAATTGAATGAAAGGCTTTGTGGGTTTAAAGATTATGGGTTTAATAGTGTGACAATTATTGGTATCTGTTTGATTTTCCCTTATGTTTTGAGTGAAATTTCTGAGTTGAGTGAAATTGATGCTCTGTTTGATGATTTGAAGCAGATTTTGATTGATTATGATTTGGTTAGTTTTGTAGAGGGGAATGTAGATGCTTGGTGTGAGGTTTGTAGGAAAATTCGGGTGTTTTATGATTTGGATTGCGAGAAAGGGAAGGTAGGGGAATTGATGGGCAGGAGCAAAAACATTTTTCTGGAATACCCAGAAGAGGTTTTGGTCCTAAAGGTGGACTTCTTTTCCAGATTGGGTGTTAGAAAGGGGGAGATTGCACAGTTACTTCTTTCAAAACCGGAGATTCTTGATTTTGACTTGGAGAGCCCAGTGATTTCAGTGTTGGGATTTTTGAAACATTTTGGATTGAGAGCAAAAGAATTGAAGTCAATCACTGAAAGGTACCCATATGTTTTGGGTAGAAATAAAATAGCCAATGTGCCTCATGCAATGAAATCATTGGATCTTAGTGAGTGGTTCTTCGATAAGATGAAAAATGGGGATCATGTTCTGTTAAGTACTTATCATATTGGTACTCCTGATGAAGCCTTGGATAAAGAGTATACAGAGCACTTGGAAAGAATTCAGTCTTTAAGAACAAACATCCATATGATTAGTAAGTTGAATTTCTTACATTCTATTGGTTATGGAGAGAATAAATTGACCATAAAGGTCTTCACTCACTTGCATGGAAGTAGTTGTGATTTAAAGGAGAGATTTGATTGCCTTCTTCGTAACGGGGTTGGATTTTCAAAACTCTGTAAAATGGTTAGCTGGTCCCCAAAGATTTTAAACCAACAACCGGAAATACTTGAACAGAAAGTGAAGTTCCTTTGCCAGGAGATGGGATCCTCTTTGCAGTACCTTGACGTTTTTCCAGCATATCTGTGTTATGACTTAGAGAAACGAATCAAGCCTAGATACAGATTTCATATGTGGCTTACAGAAAAGGGCTTGTGCGAGAAAGATTATTCCATTGCAAGCATGATTGCGACCAGTGAGAAGAGTTTCATAGCCAGAATTTATGGCATTCATCCAGCTGCTCCAAAAAAGTGGTTGGAGAGTTTCTTAAACAAAAAGCATAGCCACATTTGCCAAGGGACATTACTCTTGTAATCGGGTTTATACAATGATTGTACATTCTGTAGCTGATCAGTAACTTAGACGATAAAGTCAGAGTTCTGAGCCCTTTCGAGATGGTAGCACTCGGAAATCTGCTTATGTATTCTGATAATTCTTTGTCTACTGGTTTTTCTTTGTTTACAGGAAGAGAAGTGGTATTTCATTTTGAAGTGCCGAGGAGCTGTGGGGAAAAATAAAATCTATCATAAACCACAGGGGTCGTTAAAGAAATCAAGAACAATACACAACAACTCTGGTATGGATTGAAGTTTAGCTTTTCCTGGAATAACACTATTCAATCTCTTTTTATTGTGAAATATAAATTTTGTTAAGTGACCATTCATATTCATCGAAGGTCTAATCTTGTAATTTTGAATTACCAACATGCCTTTGTTTTTATATTGATGAATGATTTAATGCTATAACTGTTTTTTTTTTTTTTGTTTATGGGAAATTTGATGATAGAAAACGGAAATATTAGATGAATTGATTGTAACTAACAGTAGCCAGAAACTATCTTATCTAATAATGTGATACAAACAAACACAAATTCACAATAGGTTACTTAACCTTCTCCTGTTGTCCTTTTTTCCCTTTTGGTGGCAATTAATCTGTATATTCAAGCTTTACGAATATTCTCGAGTACTTGGACCTTTTATTTGAACTTTCACTGATCATGTTTTGCATGCTTTCTGGGCAAATGCTGCTAGGATCTGACATACTATCTTGCTTCTGGTAGGTTGACAAAGGAGACTAGATGCTGTATATATTTCATTGTGCAGGAATATTTGTCTTTTGGAATGCCATAGTTCTAATATTATTACACATTTGTTTTGAAGAGATATATTCTTTATGTGAATGTTGTGACAGTTCTTGTCAAACCGAAGGACTAATGATGTAATTGACAAAGGGGAAAGCTTTGTTTCTACTGAAAATTTTCGTAATGCCATTTGTGTGAAGTAATACAAGAGGAATCGTATAAAAAAGTGGCTTGACATTCTGTTACTTTCAGAAACCAGGTCTGTAGCCTTTGCAAGAACATCATGTCTTAAACATCTCCTGTAGTTCAAATTTAGAAATATCTGGAGGCATCCACTGTCTGGGTGTTTTTATGAACAATATTGGCAGGAATAGGAAAAATAGATCCTCTCCCGAATAATTGAATTCTGTCCTAGAATGGCATCACATTCTTCTCATTGATATGCCTTAATTATATCTGTACTTGGACCACATCTTTAAGTATTCGCATTGAATGCCGATGCAGTGACATACTTTATATTACCCAAATAATCATGATCACTCAACATGATGTGTTATAATACCACTTTGAATATCGTTGAATTTTGGACAATAAAATCGTTGTTTAGTCATTTGTTTTGCCCAATATAGAACCCTGCCTCCACCTTCTGCTCTTGGATATCAGGCATACAATTCGCTGCAAAATTTTTATTGGTGAATGTTACAAGATGCTGATGGTCCTATTGATACTTTGTCAGGGGTACAATGACATTGACATTTCTGAACAGGTTGCCCTTCATTTTTGTCAGTGTAGAAAGTATGGTCATGAGAATTGTTAAACCATATGGTATTGTAAATAAAGAAAAAAGAAGGACTGCAAACATGTAAGGAGCAAACTGCTTTGCCGTACTTTTAAGGTGGATCTATCCTGCACGTACATCTGCACACATACATAAACGTGTACATCACTGTAATATAGGAAATAAATAAATCATTAAAGGTAAAATCAGCTAACAATAGTAAAATCCCATCTTTTCCCAGCCTATGTAGTACACTTGTACTTAATAGCCTTTCTCTTCTTCTTAGCACCTCCGCTCACTTCACCTCTTTCTCTCTCTCTTACACACTTACACACACAACTTTTCCCTCCAAGTTTGTTCTTTAAATATTGTGTTGTGCGAATGAAGAATCCACTTTCGAGAGAGAAATAGTTGATCTCCTCTCCTCTGAGTTTATCTTTTCTCTCTTTACTCATCTCTATCTTTACAATTCTTGTCTATCAACGTTTTTGATAGTCACCATGAAGCTTCACATTCCTTGAATGATCGGAGTAACTCTACGTCAGCTCTCTGGCCCTTCTTCTTCTTCTGTCTCTCTCTCTCTCTCTGAGTTTTGTTTAATTTAATTGTCTTCGCAGTTATCTTCTTTGAAGTTTTGTGAACAATCAAAGAGGAAAATTTGCTGGTCAGTAAGAGAGACAGTGTGCGTGTCTTAGTCTCTGCAATTGATGCGTTACAATATCACTACAGACAAGGAATATGATGTCGTCACCTGTTCCACTGAAATGCCTTTCCAACAACCACAAAAACGACAATAAATGTGGTACCAAACTTGGTGACTTTTCACCGCAACAATCTCCAACGCCTGATGCTGTACCGAGCCAATCTTTGATGTCTGGTGCAGCACCACTACAATCTCTCCTGGTACTAGGACGGTCTGCAATGAATGATTTGACTTCTGAATCAGGGTCCAGCAATGCTGCTTTGTTCAAGAGCGTGGTTTTACTTGAAAATCAGAAAAATTTAGTGCTTCTGAGTGTCAAAGATGGTTTTTCCTTGTCAGATTCTGATCACATGAGTGAGACGGTGGATGAAGAGTTGATGGCATCGGACATTGATGTGGCTGCAGCTAAAGAAGAGAAATCAAATATCTATTTTCATCTTCGTAAGAAGAAGTCCGAGGAGGTTCAAGATCAGGGAAAGGCAGGTACAGTTGTTAGAAAAGAGGAGGAAATGGACTCAAAGACTTGGAATTTGAAACAATCTTCATTTCTTCAGGCAACTGGAGGTGGTCGCCACGCGAATGCTGATAAGGAGAAGGAGAAGATGCCGAAGTTCTCAATGGCTCTTTCTCCGGAAGAGATAGAAGAGGACATTTTTGCAATGACTGGATCCAAGCCTTCAAGAAAGCCAAAGAGCAGAGGAAAGGCAGTTCAGAGACAGCTTGATGTAAGGTTTTCTTGACTCAATTTTCCGTCTGTGACATGGTTGTTATTTCTTACCAAATATTTGATGTCTGTGATTTTTTTTGCAGAATGTGTTTCCTGGTTTGGGGTTGGGGTCAATAACTCCTAATAAATACAAAGTCTATGAAGCTCCTCCAAAGGTTTTTTTTTTTTTCCTGTTTATTTCACTGAATATTATGTTAAATGTTACAGATTAGGTTGAAAATGATTGTGCTACTTGCAGGGTTAGATAAAATTGTCGCGGATGGTTTTCCTTTGAATGTTTTTTTGAATTTTGAAGGCTGGTGACTTCCAATTTTTGTGAAGTCATTTGAAGGTGGAACTGACCATATATGCGTGGAGATAAAAGGGAATTAGCGTCCCTTGTTAATGCTCCTGTTATCCATTCTGTGATGACCTCAATAATCCGTGAATTTATAATTTTTGAAGTTGTTGCACATGGACTATCCAATGACCTGACAAAAGTCTGAAATCACCTTTATCTTTTTGCTTGCTATTTCAAATGGAGTATTGCTTGTTTTGTAAATATGCTGAAAGCAGTGCAAAATTTTTTTTTGTTGCGGGAGCCAAATTTTTTTATGGGATTAGCATGTTAGTTTAGTTTTCTGGTTCAAGGGCGCTGAGAGAAATATTGTGAATGCAATTAATGTGAGATTGGTTCTGTTCAATTCATTTATTCAGTATTTATCTGCTGAGATTTACTTTATTGACTTTAGTAAAGTACTGTTGTTTATTAATACAAGCAGTTAGTTTCCTATAAAAAAAAATGAAGCTCTATTTCCTGATCTTTCCTATGTCTGTTTGTAGTCTTTTTGAACAATTATTTTGAGATACGTAATCTTAATAACCAGCGCCAATCAAAGAAAAAAAAAAAATCTTAATGGCCAGTGTCATTTTTGTGAGTTGACAATTGTTGTGTTTCTCACTTGAAGATCAACAATACATCCTAGGAAACATACTAGAGTGATTTACTAACAAATGAAACTTTTTTTGTCACGAAGGATGGTTCTTTACCATACACATCAACGTTACATCCTAGGAAACATACTGGAGTGATTTACTAGCAAATGAAACTATTTTTGCATGATAACCTTAGAGGATTCGAGATTTTTGGAACTTATAGAACCTACGAACTAGAATACGATCATTTTTTGACATTATTAGAAATGTGACTTAACTTATCTAAAACTTGTACAAGCTTTGAGTGGCAGGACCAGGTACTCAGACTGTCCCGATTTTGTTTGCTCCCTCCTTTTTCACAAGCAACAGAAATTCACTATAGGGTAGCAAAAAAAGAGGAGGACCACTAACTAAGTATATCTGTAGGACACAAACTGTTGTAATCTCTCCAGGCTCACTACAATTAACAATCAGGGCTAGCTTCTTGTATCATCTCTCCTCTTCCCCTACTTGAAGCATGATACCAGCTTATCTGAAAAAAGAATTTGCATTTTTATGTTATGAAGATCGTAATTTAACTTATTGTTCTTTAGCTCTTTGTGTGAGTTAACCATGGGAGCAGGTGTTTATATTTTATAGGATCTATGTGAATGGTTGATTAACAAATGGTACTGACTTGTGGTAGAGGAAAGGAGTTTTTGGGTACTTTACCAGATGGCTGAGTATGATCATTAAAGTTTTTCACCTAATGATGCTGATTTCCTGTCCTTCGAAAAGCCTTCCTATTCAACCCTCCCCAGAGAATACAAACAATGATGTGCAGGTTCCTACATTTCCCTTTCCTCCTCTCCTCCATTTGGTATGAGATCAGCTGTTGCCCTGATGTATCCCAGTATTAACCTAAGAGCCTTCGACTAGGGTCAGAGCATGTACCACAACTCTCTAGCCACTCCACATGAAGCAACAAATGGGACTCAACTCTCTTGCTCTCTCACACTTCTTTACACATGAAGCACGGATTAACAAGAATTTAAGTGGCTAGTGGCCAACAATATCACTTGCTTTCTTACACATAAAGCACCAATTACCAGAATTTTCCTCTGCCTCACCTTATTCATATCAAAACAGCTTCCCAAGCTGTTGTGAGCTGTCCCCTCTAAAAATTTGCATTCTTCAGAGCTTACATGGGCCAAATAGGTCTCCAAGGGAACACAAATGAATGTAGAATGATTTCATTGGAAAAAACCCAATTCTTAGATGCCTTTCATCTGTTCCCACTCTCCCCTCCACCGAAATGGAACCATACAGCAATTTCACCAACAAAGCTCTGTTGACTCTACCTTCTGATCCTGCATGGCTCTTCAGAATCTGGTGGTCCAAACTACTCCCAAGGACCCCAACAGGGCAACGCCAAATCTGATACCACGGCCTTTCTATCCATTTAATCATGAACAAATTAGCATCCCCTTGAATTTCATATCCCCTCACCNTTCTCACTTGAAGATCAACAATACATCCTAGGAAACATACTAGAGTGATTTACTAACAAATGAAACTTTTTTTGTCACGAAGGATGGTTCTTTACCATACACATCAACGTTACATCCTAGGAAACATACTGGAGTGATTTACTAGCAAATGAAACTATTTTTGCATGATAACCTTAGAGGATTCGAGATTTTTGGAACTTATAGAACCTACGAACTAGAATACGATCATTTTTTGACATTATTAGAAATGTGACTTAACTTATCTAAAACTTGTACAAGCTTTGAGTGGCAGGACCAGGTACTCAGACTGTCCCGATTTTGTTTGCTCCCTCCTTTTTCACAAGCAACAGAAATTCACTATAGGGTAGCAAAAAAAGAGGAGGACCACTAACTAAGTATATCTGTAGGACACAAACTGTTGTAATCTCTCCAGGCTCACTACAATTAACAATCAGGGCTAGCTTCTTGTATCATCTCTCCTCTTCCCCTACTTGAAGCATGATACCAGCTTATCTGAAAAAAGAATTTGCATTTTTATGTTATGAAGATCGTAATTTAACTTATTGTTCTTTAGCTCTTTGTGTGAGTTAACCATGGGAGCAGGTGTTTATATTTTATAGGATCTATGTGAATGGTTGATTAACAAATGGTACTGACTTGTGGTAGAGGAAAGGAGTTTTTGGGTACTTTACCAGATGGCTGAGTATGATCATTAAAGTTTTTCACCTAATGATGCTGATTTCCTGTCCTTCGAAAAGCCTTCCTATTCAACCCTCCCCAGAGAATACAAACAATGATGTGCAGGTTCCTACATTTCCCTTTCCTCCTCTCCTCCATTTGGTATGAGATCAGCTGTTGCCCTGATGTATCCCAGTATTAACCTAAGAGCCTTCGACTAGGGTCAGAGCATGTACCACAACTCTCTAGCCACTCCACATGAAGCAACAAATGGGACTCAACTCTCTTGCTCTCTCACACTTCTTTACACATGAAGCACGGATTAACAAGAATTTAAGTGGCTAGTGGCCAACAATATCACTTGCTTTCTTACACATAAAGCACCAATTACCAGAATTTTCCTCTGCCTCACCTTATTCATATCAAAACAGCTTCCCAAGCTGTTGTGAGCTGTCCCCTCTAAAAATTTGCATTCTTCAGAGCTTACATGGGCCAAATAGGTCTCCAAGGGAACACAAATGAATGTAGAATGATTTCATTGGAAAAAACCCAATTCTTAGATGCCTTTCATCTGTTCCCACTCTCCCCTCCACCGAAATGGAACCATACAGCAATTTCACCAACAAAGCTCTGTTGACTCTACCTTCTGATCCTGCATGGCTCTTCAGAATCTGGTGGTCCAAACTACTCCCAAGGACCCCAACAGGGCAACGCCAAATCTGATACCACGGCCTTTCTATCCATTTAATCATGAACAAATTAGCATCCCCTTGAATTTCATATCCCCTCACCAAACATCTTCAATAGGGTGAATAAATTTGCTGCTAAGTGATGACTATGGGTCTTCAAAGAGCTAGATAACTTGGAAGTAGGTGGGAGATATTGAGGATTGGGTTAAAGTTGGGGCTTTATTTCCTTCTACTCATGTAATTCCAATCCCGCAAAGGAAGTTTATTCTCAATGCTCAAGTGTGCCAGTGATTGTCATGTGATTCATTAGTTTTAGCAGAACTGTAGGGAGACTAATTTACAGAACTGCCGTACTTTTGTATTTTTTGGCAAATGATGCTGTGCCAGCGTGGTCTAACTGTAGGTAAATACAAGTGTGGCCTCAAGTAGCTTGATCTCTTTTTTTTTCCAGCTCCTGAGCTTATTGAGTTGTGGCCAAGCCGATTTCAACAAGTTGATAAACAACGAATATGGTTTAACAAACCAATTTGGTTAATGATATCAAATTGCCCTAACGTACCCAATCATGAGCCAAGCTGGAGTATTTTGGTTTGTTTTACACTCCCCATAATAGTTGAAGGAATAATAGATGTAGGAGCGATTAGTTGCTTTTTCATGTTCATGATTCATTTAGATATTAGTTTTGCTATTATTCTGATTACTTAGTGTCCTAGATATTCGTTAATTGCTGCAGCAAGGTGTTGTATGAATAATATGAAGGCCTAACCTTCAATATCTTGTGGTCTTATCTCGTATGTGGTATAAGAGCAAGTGCGGCACCATAAAGAAATGTGGCATCTCAGGTTGATGGCTAGTTGGCCTTTAGAAATAAACATTTAAAGATCGTAATATATTATTCTAAATTTAGTTGCACCATTGAACAATCAATTTAGCTGATTTAAATGTCTAGTAGGTTTTTATTCTTTGATTCATCTCATTGGCTTTCCTTGATGGTGTTTTTGGAAGGGAAGCGCACAATCCTTTTTTAATGACGCAAATAAGAACCAAAGGGCTTGTTCATTTGGAAACCCAAAAAAAAAATAAAAAATCCATGAGTGGCATAGTTTGTATTCTTCTACTTTTCTGCAAGCTGTATCACATCTGCTATATTATTTACCTAGACCATATAACAACTTGTGTTCCAATCTTTATGACTTGGTTGTATAATCTTGAAATATGTTACCGTCATTCATTTTTTCTTTCATTAATAAGAAAGGAAAAGTACATTTAGTGTTCCCAGTGGTTGCATATTCTGTAGTTGATTAACATTGTGGACCCAAATAGAAGCAGAGTTCTGAGACTCTTTCAGATGCCTGCACTTTGAGTCTTTAACTGGTTTTCAATTACAATATAAATTTAAATGTTTCTGCTTAGAGTATCTAAGTCCATTGGGCTTCTCTTTGTTTATAGGAATAGCAATGCTTCAAGACTTCAAGTGTTGAGTCAAGGTGCAGAGAAGTTGCATGGTGGAAAAAAATCACAACTGAAGATAAAAATCCATCATCTAGTGAGGGGGCCATTAAAGAAATTTGCAGTTATCACTACATTTATGGTATGTAAC